TGCACATCTGATCAATGCGAACTCTTCGTTTTCCGGGCCGTCCGACTGGTACTCCCGCAACTGGTTCCAGACTAGATCGACAGTGTCGGATGGCCAGACCATCGATTGGGTTTCCATGGGGACCTGGGACCGTTACGGTCACTACTGTGCAGCGATTTACGGAGGACTGTGGGCATATGATGGATGGGACAACGTGAGTGTATGGCATTACTGACTCAACATTATGGTCTGACAGTGTGTTCTAGGCCAACATCGTCGCAAGCGAAATCCGCGATCCAGGTCGTGCGCTTCCAAAAGCGATCAAAGCTGCAATGATCGTCGTTCTCAGTTCATTCGAACTCGTGAACATCGCTTACTACATCCTTGTACCATGGGATAAACTGAGCAGCAACAACGCAGTAGCTGTCGCTGCTGCCACCTCTCTTTTGGGCAGACCTGCAGGTATTCTCGTCACTACCCTTGTCGCCATATCTTGCGCAGGGTCTATCACGAGCAATGTCTTCTCAGTAGGCAGACTAACAATTGCTGCATCGCAACGTCATGTACGTGTTCCTGTACGGAATGCATGTGAGAGATATACTAACGTCGTACCCCAACATGCAGTACATACCTGCAGTATTCAGCAAGCGAGGACTGCCGATGACGCAGAGGGCTGAAGCAGAGAACAGCATTTTATCCAACCTTGACGCCCCAATGTAAGCCACTCGGGAACCCAGGGTCTGCCAAGACACTGACACGAGTTACAGCTATGCCAACTGTTTAGCCCTTGTCGTTACCCTTGCCTACATATTGACAGGTAGTTTTCGGGCACTTTTGACTTTCGTTGGGATGGCTGAATGGGTCTTCTACGTAAGCACAGTGGCTGGGCTGCTTATACTCCGTCGCCGAGAACCGGAGTTGGCCCGACCCTATCGTCCGTTCGTCGTCCTTCCCATCATCTTCGTCGTCGTCGGTACTCTGGTGATCTTGCGATCTGCTCTGTTTGCGCCAGTGCAGAGTGGTGTCCTCGTGGGCCTTCTCGTAGTGGGCGCTTTAATCAGCCGATTACGGAGCACCCAAAGCTCATGAAAATCGACCGACGAATCTGGCATCTACAACGTATGCACGCAGAATTCCGCGCCCGGTTTTCAAAGACATTGAACGGTCTTGCGCCTGCAGCATGGTTCTCTGGCTCAGCTGTCTAAGTATAGCCGGACCAATCTCTCTGGTCTAGACGGTGGCAAACAACAGAGTTCGGTTGATCCACCAGCCCTCATGGCTCGGGTAAGATGGATGTGGAGCTGACATATGGAACCGATGCGCTAAGCAAGGTTTAATTACCTAGCCCAACGGCAGGCTACCTTCCCCGCAACTCAATTTTGACTTCGCTGCCGGCATCAAGCATGATGGATCCACTTCCTGTCAATTTCACTCTGCTAACTTTGTTTGTGCCTGCCAATCACTCATTCAACACTATATCCGGTGCCGCATCCGACCCTTTGGTAGTACTCCTCGAGTTGCCCTGGCGCCGGGTCATGCGGGTTACCCAATCAGATACATATGGCTAATACGGCGCCATATACGTACAATGGTCGACGTCCGCCTTTGCCGGAAATCAGCACTATGACGAAGCCTCATGGCGAACGAATATACTTTTCGTAACGAGGCATGATCCCGAGACCCACGAGGCGACAAGACCCGACCGTAGGCTTGTGCTGTGACAGCAAACCACACCGTACCTTGCAGGACGATGCTCATCTCCCAAGATAGGGTCCCAGAGCGCTTCTCGGTGTGGAGGCTGTCTGTCTTAATCAGCATATACACAACCCGTATTGCTGCATCTGATGCAATGAGACGCCGTATGATGAGCAAAGCCTCATCACTCATTTTATCCACTCGCCCTTGGTAAGCAAAGAAATTTCCCAACTAGTGATGTGACATATGTCACAAACTTACTTTCGGGTCACGATGCTGCAACTACACTAGCTAGTGGGCCATCAGCGTGAGGGTTCACAACACACGCTCGCGCCTAAACGCATCGATCCCCGGTCCATCGCCCTGTTCGCTCTTTGTAGAGCGTCGATCGTGACTCAGGACGTCCAGAGTACGAGCAAGCGACATCATTTGGAGTTGCGGGGAAGCTCTTGGGCATCGCGTAGCTGCATGTCTTACAGCACATGCAAAGAATGTATGGCACTTCCGTGGAAGATCAAGGAAAACCATACCTCCTCGGGCCACTGGGTAAAGAACCTTTATCGATTTTATTGAGGAATGCAGAGCCTCGTCGTTGGCATTGGTGGAGGTCCAGTGTTTTCTTATTGCTCTGCAGATGGTTTGGGGAAGCAAAGAGCCGAGACGGGACTCGGAGTGTCGTACAGCGTCCTGCTGCGACCTTGCAAGGCACGTTCACGTTCAATGAACCGGGGACGAGAACAACCGCAATTTAGGATACGAGAAGACGGACGGAGATACTCCTCGGCACTACTCAGTCCGCCAAGCGAACGGGCCTCGAAGTAATGTCAACGAAGAAGTATAAAGAAGGCAGACTCTGGACTTCAAGTTGAGCATCCACAGCATCAATCATCATCTCAGCTTCTTACCTTCACTTCCACCAACTCTTCACTCTCTACCAACCAAACAACTTCCAACCATCAACATGCGCTTCTCCATCCTCGCCTTCATTGCCGGTGCCGCCGCCGCTCCCTTCGCTTCCACTGGAACAGAGCCCGTCTGCCCCGATGGCCTCTACAACAGCCCCCAGTGCTGTGCCACTGATGTTCTTGGTGTTGTCGGCTTGAACTGCGCAGTTCGTAAGTCTTTGCCTTCCATTCCTTCCACTCATGCACGAGATCATGCTAACGTTGCCATCCAGCCGCCACCACTCCCACCAGCACCACTGGCTTCATCGCCGGCTGCGCTGCCGCTGGCAACCAAGCCAAGTGCTGCACCATCCCCGTTGCCGGCCAGGCTGTCTTGTGCCAGGACGTTAGCCCCGGTGCCGGCGCCCCCGGTGGTGGATCTCCCCCCGCTACCACTCCCTCTCCTGCTCCTGCTCCTCCTGCCGAGAGCCCTGCTGTGCCCTCCGGTTGCCCTCATTACTAGATCAAGAAGTTGGCGGTGAATCAGTGGGGAATTGATGATTGAGGCGAGTAAACATGGAGCCAAAGTGGAAGACATAGGGGAAAGCACACATATAGCTGTAGTCATCGTCAATACAATCTGCAGTTGTAGTACCAGTCTTACATTCCAATTCTCGCATTTTGATTGATTTGATAATATGTGACGCTGCTGCATCGTGACGCAGCGTGTACTATGGTGGTTGATGGTTGTCGTGGAATGCGGGGAAATGAAGATCGCGCTGGGCGGGTGAATCTCCCGGCGCACTGCGACCGTTTCGAAAGGGGAAAGTGGGTCCCTAACTAGGGGACGTGCGTCGAAAGGCGATCGCGATTCTGCGCTCTCGTCCGTCCCTCCACCAGCGTTGCTGCTTTCTGTCCAGATCTCCTCGTGCATCGCGCTCGCGCTACGCCATGGCTGTTTCGAAACAATTCTAAGACGTGCACACAAACGCATGGCGACCTCATTTCAATCTCTTCGACGTGCAGCCTCGTCAGCCTTGCCAAACCTAACAGCCACCACGTGTCAAAATCATCCGAGCGTCGACGCCGTTCACAAACACAGTTTTGTTCATTCCAGAATGTCACATGGAAGGACTTCAGCTGGCACTAGGGGCTACGTAGCGCACCACCAGCACGTTGGTGGCTGCTGACGTGGATATTCGCCTTGTGTTGTCTTCTCGCCCTCAGGATCCGTGCATCACGCTTGATTGGTCGACACGTTAGCTGAAGCTCTAGGGCTGAAGCTCACCATGCCCCGCGCTCCAACGCAGGAGGACTGCACTCACAGAGTCATCTGCTGGTAACTTTGTTGGACCATTGAATCGTCGCACCATGACCTACAAGGTGCTTCTAGTCTCTTTGCCATTTGCAGGCTCAGCGTTGTACCTCGCGTATCTACACGCAACCCTCTCCCGAAAGGTGCAGTGCCGAACGACGCCTTACCTCCAAGACAAGTCCATCTCCATTCCTAGCATCGCACAAAGGAGCCCGGAAGACTACATCGTTCATCATGAGTGCGCGCGTAAGACAGTTGCCAGAGAATCTTTTGGAGGTTCAAAACCAGAAGAGCTGCTGGTGCCGTTCCTCCGACACACCATGGCTATATTTTGCACGCGTCCTCCTGCATGGGGTATCTGGCATATGATCAAAGACGCTAAAGATAGAGAGTCCTTCAACGCAGCATATATCCGCTCCCTCCGATTTGCACCTGGAGACCGCGTCTGCGGGGTTTACGTGGTGACTTCTCGAAACGGCAAGCGTGTTACCTTGACTCTGGATGCACCTGCAAGTTACAGAGGGCCATCTGTTGAGGGTCTTCTTGTAGTTGAAGTCAAAGAAGAAGGAGGCCAGACTACCTTTATCAATCACACGGTAATGTGGCGCGAGAAGGGGAAGGGAAGCGCTGGGGTCTTGGAGGGGAAGTTCGGGAGGTGGATGCATGCTTTGATGGTAAGAGGCCTTGTTGAAGGAGGCGTGCAGCAACTATGTAAGGATATTGAGGATAAGAAGCGAATATGAAGAGTGTGAAATTGCAGGAAATGACGTTCGGTCATGCTACAGTGGGAAGGTACGATGCGACGTTGCCTTGGCACGGCACGACAGCTTTTTATTCGACCACACCTTCCAACTCAAGGCACCAATGTTACCTGGAATACAATCAAAACTGTCCCGATACGGATATATCGGGAGTTTGTGGCAGGGGCCAAGGACGATTGATAGGCTGCGAGCTGTTTCGCCCCAACACACGTGGGTAAGCTGCATCAACCGCCCCCATTTTCGGTTCCCGATGTGGTCGCACCTACCTGCAGCGACATATGCATAACCTGGAAGCTCTTCCGTGGAGTCTCCTTCATCCTCAAGTTCTGGTCATGCCTAATACCCGTTACCATCAGATCTTCCATCATGTCGGGTAGCCTCGAGGTCGCCGCGGGGATCTTCGCGATCATCGGTGTAGCCGATGTTGTTGTACGAATGGGAAGGGAGGTTCATGGATTTCTACGCGACATCGCAGGTGCGCCAGAAGAGATCGACAGACTTTGTACCACCGTCAAAGAGACTGCGCTACTGGCCGAAACCGTGAAACAACTTCTCGATACCCTGGCTTGTCGGAAACAACCCAATGTGACGAATCACATGGTAGCGCTTTTCGAATCTGCGCTCAAGAGCTTGCAACGCGAATTACAAAACTTGAGGATACTAAGCGCGAGATTTAGGAGTGGCGGCAAGACTTGGAGTAGGGTGAAGTACGTTCTAGATGAGCGGAAGATCAGCAAGATGTTCAACAATCTAGAACGGTCAAAGAGTCTACTAGGCAACTCTCTGCATGTTGCAAACAGGTACGTATCTCGTCGCATTATTTTATGACGTTGTTTTGACGAGGCTCCTAGGCAAAGATTAGACGATCAACACCTGGAGCTACTGCAAAGGCACGACACAAACCAAGCCACGTTGATTCAAGGACAAGAACTTCTAGGACGGATGTCGGTCTACCACTACCAGGAAACCAAGCGGACTTCGAAGATCTTGGCAACCACTCACCAAGAGCAAGTGAACGAGCACCGAAAGACCCGCGAAGTCCTATCAGAAAAGATCGGCGATGCCATAGCCGCTGAGTTTGGGAGGTATCGCATACCTCGCGCCGATAGATGGATGAAAAATATCTTCTTCTTCGGTGAACGTCGCGACATGATCATGGCGTATCTACTTCTCGTCAAACCTCATCTAGAAGCAGCGTTCAGAAATCTGCTGATCGATGGTATTGACCGCTTTCCCCCACACTACGTCGACTGGCTGCGGTACGAGTTCGACCACCTTGTAGCATCAGCAGCGCAGGAAGAAGCAACGAGACACAGAGGAACTTCCGCAACATCTTTCGACCGATGGCATTACTCTGAGGAGACGATGCCACATCATTCTAGGGTATCTGGGCGTGCAATTGAAGAGTCGAACACCATTTCAGATACACCAGAGGCAGACTACGCAAACCTCTATCTCAGCGCGCCGGTGATCGCGGGCCAAAGGGCATATACACAAACTACTCCCTTCGGTAGTCTACGTATACAGTCTCCCCGACGAGCGGTCAAAGCCAAGTTCAAACGTCCAAATAACGAGGCCAGTTTCACGTTCACTTGTGGTATTGGCCAGTCAGTCCACGCCATTCACGCCCACTTCCTTCGTAACGCAGCCAATGCGTCGAATCCGGGGCTCTGCGCTCAACTCAGTGTATTCACATTGGCTGAGTCCGAGACGCATTACAACCAGCTTTTTGCATCTGCTGGTGTCGAAGAGATCGACGACGCATTACGGAGAGGCGTCATCTCTCCATATGAGATTAACCGTGAAGGAAGAAATCTATGTCTATATGTAAGCTTTCACCTAGGGGTCTCTAATACAGTGATGAAGGAAGCTGACTTGCATAATTTAGTATGCTGCAGAGAACACACGAGTAGATCTGCTCGACTATTTGGCAACCCAAGGTATTGGGGTATCGAACCTGAAGTAAGCAATCCCAATACCCCGCAGCAACCTTTTCCTAACATCCACCAGCCACGATGTCAGCATAGTCGCAGGTCTCTTCGTGCGCTCAATAGTTGATGACGACCGTGCCCCCTTCGAGAAAACCGTCGATTACATCATCCCCCAAGTATACGAGTCATCTTCATTCCTCTTCGAGACGACAATGAACATGCTGCTCTGGGACTACTACCAAGGACGACCGCGTTCCCTACTACGACAACAAATACAAAGACTGCAGCAAGAGGGTCTCATTTCCGACTCTGTAGTCATGAACGACGACCCGTGGGACTGGCCCTCAGTATCGAGCATCATGGCTCCACTTTTCGAAGTCGACGCTGCGTACATCAACACGATTGGTAGTCTTGGCCGCAACAGGATACAGCGTTGCTACCGCGTTATTGACCATGGAAGTAGTCCAGGAGATCCGGTCGCTGTCGAAGAGATTGCAAATGCGTTGATAAGAGCGGGTGTTGATGTGCATCACCGCGACCATGACGGTCTGACCCCAAGTATGTATGCCAGACGCTGTGGCGCATGGGATGGATGGTGCAGCGCACTTGCGACGAATGGACTGCGTATTGAAGATGTAGTGAGAGAAGAAGATGCGGAATGGCTCTTGGATGAAGGCTGGAGGCATGTTATGAAGGAAAAGCATGGGGAGCTGGCGGTCACGGGGTAGCGGGTACTTATTATCCCTTCTCAATCCTCAGGAAATGGTATTGCAACGACGACATATAGCAGGCAGGTCCACAGTGTTGTCAGTCGCATGTCTGAAGTGAAGAAAACTTCTAGTATGGATGTTTTACAGCTCATGGGGTGATGCAAAGATAGACCAAAAGTAAGGCACATTTGTGCATATATTTGAAGCCCCACGTGTGCAGTTGTACATGCCACTTTGTTCTTCCGCGCAACCTAAACTGGCCTAACTCATTATCCCAAAGATACAGCCTTCCCACAGTTCTGGTTAAATGAAAAGATACGATCTAAAGTAGTAAGTGTAGAAAGAGTGACCGCCAAACTATTCTGACTGCACGTGACCACCTCCAGTGTCAACAGGGAGCATCACCCCCCAAAGAAGCTACTAAAGCCACAACCCGTGCTTGTTATGCAGGCAACGCAGCAGTCGTACGGCGAGGCCGCGTTCACCAAGCTGAGGTCAAAATTGTCTTTGTAATTGCCTTGAATAATTGTCTGTTCGCCTATCGTGACTGGTGCTGGGGTATCAAGCGTCGGAGAATCGAAGTAATCACAAAAGAAATTCCAGAGAGTCTTGCTCTGATCAGATGAGCAGCATATCGAATGCTGGCCTAGAGCCCTACGTGGGATCAAAGTGATCTATCGCAACTCTTCCCTCTCATCCTCTTCGTCGTGCTCAATTTTCACGCAAGGGAACGCGCACTCCATTGATCGTTGCTGCACATAATTGTTAGCAATGTAGTCCTCGTATGTGAACCTCGAAGAATAACATACCCTGCTTCCATTCCCACTCTCCGCCCAGGAACCGGTGTTACACCACGCTTCGGGGTGTGACTTCTTGCTCCCGCCCTCGGTCGCCCATTTCAGCCCATCGTACTCAAAGACCAGTGCGTCTTCGCCATCGGAGCCGTAGATAGTCAACTTGGTGTCATCTAACAGTCCATCGATCTCGAAGATCTGTGTCGCGGAGACTTTCACATACGAGTTGCGCTCCGTCCGGGGTCTCGAAGAAGCGAGATCGACAGTGATTCCGTTCATGTGGTCTTCCAAGCTGTCGACTTGGACGTAGTTGATCTTGCCATCGCTTGCCGAGGCTGGACGGGCAGCGGTCTTGAGTTGCTTGTGGAAGAGGGTGAAGGTGCATTTGTCGGCCAGCGATGTAGCAGACGATGATAGCAATGACTGTGCATCACCGCGGGGAAGAATGCGCGGGGGCTGAGGAGGGAGGACGCGCGCTGCGGATAGCGAGGGCGCAAGGAAGAGAACCGAAGAGAGGATGGCGAAGGTGTTGGTGTGCATCTTGAAGACCTGCTTGCGAATGCTTCTGGTAGTGTTGGCTATCTGTTTTGATGAAGAAGAAGTAGAGTTGATGACGCAGTCAGTCAAGTGAGACAAAGTCGAGCGGATAACCGGATCCAAGACCAGCTGAAAGATGCAAGGGAGAGTGAATGCAGGCACAGAACGCGCTGACGAGCAGGTACTCTTGTACCTGATTAAAGCATAGGAAGATTTCGTTTCAGAGTAACTACGCCGGACTACCCGCTCTTCACCCTGTCTATCTGTTCATCGCTACTATTTTGGTGTGGCGATCCCGCTTGAGTACTCGGACCATGCGGCGGTTGTGCAAGGCTGATATATGCGGGGTTGCGGCACGGTGGCTCAAATAGAGTGCTCTGGCGGCAACGTCAGCGGCAAGCATCCACCCCGTGCAATGAGGTGCATCGTAGAGCCGCAAGGAATGTGGGGGTCTGCAAAGAATGTGTGTTCATGAGGGCGGCGCGGGTCATTGCGCTGGGCAACGTTGCGTGAGATGGGCGGTGCTCGAGGGTCGAGGGGCCCAGGAAATTAGGAGCGGCGCAATGAAGTCATGATCATCGTAGAGATGGCCTTAACATCCTCGAGGCATGCGCATCTTCAAGATGACAGCAGAGGAAGACGAAGATACGTCATATGCACACTGGCTTGGGCTCTTGACTTCGCTGTTTCAAGTCTCTGATGTTTCCTATCCACAACGAAGATCTCTCGTTCTTCAAGAGACTGCAACGTTGTTGCCTGCTTCGTCCAATGTCACTGCGCAAGAAAGCATCTGCGTGTCCACGGCCACATAAGCTCAAAGCTCAGCAAATTCAACATTGTGCGCGCGTGGATGTATTGGCTTGGCCTCCGCGTGTTAAACGCCCTGGTGAGCGCTCTGGAGATTAGCGAAAGAAGGCTGGCAAAGATACCTACGGCTGATGCAAACGAGTCGCTGCGTCGCTTAAAGGAATCAATATCAGTACGTTTGCCAGTTCGAAGCTTCTGTGATCACCCCGGCGGTAGTCATTGAATGCTGTAGGTAAAATTCATATTCAATACGGCTTTCGAGACAAAGCAAGGATATTTGGGTTCGCATGGCGTCTTGTCACAGTGTTGGGCAAGGGTTCAGATTGGCGAGTATTGAGGGCAGCGTCCGTCCCATCTTCACACATCTTTTTGAACAAAGCATGAGTCTTCGAGGTCGGTGAATATGTGCCCAGGTGCGCAACAGTCGCGTACAAATTCAGGGTCCATGGTGTTGGACGTGCGCAGGGGGAGAAAGGGCAATTTCGGGATGCCGAATCGGTAGTCGTGGGGCCGAGCGTCTCGAAGTCTGACGTTGAGCACACAAGTGGAATTCGTCATTCTTCTCAACTAACTCACAGCCAAACATCGCCGTCGCAATGTCGCGCCCCTGCCAGCAACGGCGCGCCAGTGCGGCTGCCAACCGGAAGTCCAGAGGGTCCAAGCCAACCGGACCGCCCCCGATACGACACAAAGCACGGCAAAAGGCGATACACAACGCTCGACGCAGCGAGCGCGGCGGAGCACGTGGCGGGCGTGGTGGAGGCCGCGGAGGAGGCGGAGGAGGAGGCCGTGGTGGCGCGGGACAGGGTGGGCGAGGAGGCGGACGTGGCGGACGTTTTGCGCAGAAGAATGGCAGGAACGAATCGGGCCAAGACTTCATACCTCTCTCCTCTGGTGGCAACAACTTCGAAGCGCTCTACAGGTCCTCACGCAACGACGACTTTGATCTCGACATGGACGGCGACAGTTCTGACTCAGACGCATTCGGCGACGACCTACTCGACGACGACATGTATGAGGCCGAGGATATCGAGATCAACGTACAGGCGCCACTGCCCACGACCGGTCGGGGAAGACAACCACGGGCGCAGATAATGTTTACGGAGGCAGCCGCGGTTGCAGTATACAGGCAGCTCTATTTGCGCGACTACCCACTCAGTACCTTAACCACGCGAGTGCGCTACGGTCTCTACCAGGAGGACACCTCTGCCGATTCCGCCGCATACATCTCCCTCGCACCGTCCACAGCATCTCGCCGATCGAGCGTCATCAGCATCAGCAGCGACACAAGCGAAGAGTCCACGGATGGACCGGCAACACCTGAGTACAATCCGGCACGCGACTACGTCTTCACGTTCGGTATGCACAGGGGCGAGCGGTTCACCGATGTGAATGAAAACTACCTCAGAATGATCGGTGGTCAGCTATACAAATACAGGGACAAGCATGCGGGCCTTTTGGAGGCATTCGAGTACCACAGGCCGGGGCAGGCACGTCTTCGGCCAGACCAGACTCAAACTCAACAGACACAAGCTCAGCTATCGCAGCCACGACAGGCTCCCACACGGAACGCACAAAGGTCTCGATCGAACGCTCTTTCGGCATCAGACACATGGACATTCCACAAAGGCATTCACCTAGGAAAGCGACTACATGACGTACCTGAAAACTATCTACGAACGCTAGAGGGCAATCCCCTGGTCAGAGACGCCTGGCCTGGTTTCAAGCAGGCTCTCCAGGACTTCAATGCCAAGACTGGTAGGAAAGGCCGGGTTTGATCACACACCAGCCGTCCACGGGTACAATAGCTGCTACCACGTGGTGCGCCTTCTACGAGCGTTTGTTGGTGGTCCAAGCGGCAATTTTGGGACTCACCTCATCGGGGCGACCTACAACTTGCAGAACCAGCGCAACCCACTGCCATTACGACCTCTTTGTCAGGATTGCCTGAATCCGCGGGCTTTCTTCGTACTACACACTATAACGTCTGATCCATAACGATACTGCACCTCGCTTCACCATGGTGAGAACCAAGAAACGTGCGCGAGCGGATCCCGAATTGTCGCAGTCTCAGCCGCAGCTTCATACCAAGCGACAGAGGGGCCCGAACGCCATGGCAGCGCAAGCGAAAGAGGAGGCAGACGACACTACTGCGACAGACGATGTGCGATATATGAGAACGCAGCCAAAGGCCCAGGCACCTATCGAAAGCTCCCGAGCCAAGTCATTCCCCAGTCAGACATCCGAAATCATTGACTTGACGCTGAGCGACGAGCTCGACAATGTGTTCCCCGCATATTCGTCCAGGTCAAAAGCTCTCCAGGATCAGGCCGAAGAGCAGCGCCACTCAAAGTATGCTCTACAGAACAAGATGACCGGAAAACTTGGCGAGCGCTCTCTAGGTCAATCCGGCGGCGGGCAGGGTACTGAAATCAGCGAAGGCGAAGAACGATGGGACATTTCCTCACTATCTGCAGATATCCTTGCGCGGCGCCAACAAAAGAAACAGGAGAGGAAGAGGCAGAAGAAGGAGGCGGCCATTGACGTCATAAACGCCCAACGCTCCTATGCGCCGGTCATGTTCACCCTTTCAGAGGCAGTAGCCTTTCTCTGGCAACCCCAGCTAGCGATCACCTACGATCTTCCGACTGGCGACTATGTACCTTGTCAGTAATACTCCTGTACGAATTGTATGTGAGACAAATACTGACGCTCTACATTCATCTTTAGATCCCGTTCATAGATCATACCACCTGGGCGGTATGGGTCGGTACGAAGATACTCGTGTTGCTATGCATACAAGTCTTCCTTATCGTCCTTCCGGCGCTGGTGGACGCGGCCCTCGTGCGAATGACCGTAGGTCAGACCGAACGGAGGCTCACGGTCGCTTCGCTTGATCTCAGGACAACAACACGCGCTGGCCGATTGCGATGAGTAGGAATTGGGTCTTTTCGATTGAATCTTCACCACGGCCGCACTCAGAGCACAAAGATACTCAATCACGGGTATCATGACTGCCTTGGGTCTGGTAACGGTGTGACGCTTCAAAGATGAACATGTTGCTTGGAATGCAGCCCCAAACTTCATAAAAACAATCTAAAATATACACCTCAATTGAACGTACATGTGATGCTTCTAAGCAATCAGTTGAGCCTGCCACAAACAGACAGTAGATGCATCAAGGTGCTATCCACCCTACACAGGTCATGGGCCAGCGTATCCAGGGCTTATGCTCCGTGGGCAGAGCTTCGAAGATTCCACTCATAACATGATGTGTCCAGCCTTTCATATACCAAAATCTTTCCATGTCGTGCATCAAAACGACAAAGTGCGCGTAGATGATTAGTGGCAGCGGATCGCATTGTTGTAGGCGGTCGAGGAAATCATCGCTCATTCGGTAGAGCCATCCAAACGCCACGTGGTATTCACCGTCCTTGCCACCGTAGCGGTTCGAATACATCTCCTGGAGGACGTTCACGCTGAGCACATTGTCGTCGCAATCTGAAGGCTCAGACGCGATGCCGATGTGCTCTTTTAACTCCTGAAGATGCCTTTCGAATTCGAATGGCCCGTCTGTTACTGGTAAAAGCCGACCTTTGTTACGCACTGCCGGCGCATGTGTCTTCGCGAAATTGTCTATCTCGAAGGCGCTGAGTGTCGTGCGGATTCCACGGAACATGACCAGCCACTCCGATCTACCGTGCTTACCGAAAGCAAGGTATTCACCAGCCTGCGGTCCTCTTGCCCAACTGACAAAGCAGATTAGTTGGACAGATTGAAGGACCGCGTCGCAGTTGGCAGGGTTCAGTTTGGCTATCTCTGGAGTGACTAGTGCTAGGGCGCATTCGTAGTGATGGTTTGAAGTAGCGATATAGGATTCTTTGCGGTCTGGTCGGCATGTAGCGAGATGGAGAGCCGTGAATGCGAAGATGAGGTGTAGCACATGTTCGTTCTTGAATGCGATTTCTTCTGTGGATGATTGTACGCGTGCAGCACCGGCAGGCCATGCTGATAACGAGTGACATGTGGTTGTCGTCCAGTGATATGTGAGTTCAATCTCAGATAGTGGAAGGCCGCCGGGTTGTCGTACGCCAGTAATTTCTGGGACGACAATAGACGTTGCTGGGTACTCGCAGCGGACCTGCCGCCGCTTGCAGTTGGTGCAGAATGGCTTGCCTTCGTCGCACTAGGCACGAGATTAGCATGTTGAGCATACTCTTTAGCTTTGTCTTCCTCCAATGAGATTTTGCTGTGTTGTTTGCAAGGATTAAAAGCCATCGGTTCATTCAAAGGAGGTGCCTCAGGTTGCATCGAGACGGTTACATACTACATACCTTGATGCGACGCGTCTTGCAATGAACACATCCAGCCCGCGACTTGCGATGAGACTTCCTCGTTATCTTCGATGCTCTTGGCGTAGCCTTTCCACTGTGCTCGTAGGGAGAGGGCTCCCGTGAATTCTGGATAGACCCTCCCCTCGAAGTTGACGTAGCTTCCGTGAGTGGTGAGTCCTGCTGCATATTGATGTTGCTGATGAGGATTTTGAGACGCCGGATTCAAGCGCGTATTCTGAGCGAGGAACGCGTATTAAGAGAGACGGCAACCGCTAGCGGCATACATGGATGTCATCGCTTCTAGCGTGAACTCCTTCCGCGAGGGCTGCGCAACGCCGCAAGCATCTCCAGCACAGGAAAACTCCGAAAACTGACCTGACTGACCCCTTCCCAACGCGTCACCTAATCAGGAGCTTTTTAGTAGCTAAGCCGCCACCATGAGTGCATCGGCCTTGCATTGACCGTTGCTGATCCGACGCGGGTTCTTCTCTCCGATGTTGACGCTAATGCGCCAGTCCGAGGCTCGTATTCGCTCGTGTTCTCTTAGAATACGCTGTTTTCAGGGACGAATGTCTGGCACACTTGTCGCGCTCCACTTAATACAGCTAAAATAGAAGAAAAGTGCCATGAAAAGCTCTTTCTTGTGCATTGCGCCGAGTTTTACCCAAACTAGCCTCGTCAGCAGTCTGAGTGCACATATAACCTCAGGATGACCCGCTGCTTTGCTCCAAGTTAAGCCATCTTCACATTTTGCTTCGCAAATTCATCTACTAAGTTCCGAATTTTCACTCGAGGGAGACAATCACCATGGGTCAACCCAAGCAGTCCGAGCCCGTCTACTACAAGCCGACCACACCATCATTATCGGCCTCATCGACCCACTCGATACCATCCGTACCACCACCGCCCTACTTCAAATCGAAATTCATCTCTCCGTCCTCCTTCAAATCCGCCGTAAATGCCAAACTCGACAAGCCTGCCGTATCTCTCTTCCGTCTCAGCATTCGTATCTTCCAATTGGCCTTCGCACTCGCATCGGGCATATCCTACGCCATCGAATTGAGCCATGCAACAAGCACTTCGAGGACGGACTTCATATTCGCGCAAATTGTTTTTGGTATTACCCTATTGGTGTTAGTCATCGATAGTGTGACAGTACGCAACTACCGTGTCACTTGGATCCCGGAATGGATCTTGGCGGTCTTATGGATCGCTTCTTTCGGCCTCTTCTATACAATCTATCTAAACGGGAATATCGAGCAGGGGTACCAGAACGTGGATGTGGGGCGGATGAAGAGAGCTGTGTGGTGCAACCTCATTAACGCGTTGCTGTGGATGGGAAGTGCGCTGTTCTCTTCAGTAATGTGCTGCTCGGGAATCAAAGCCACCATCAAAGCAAAGATGGAGAGACGAAGACAGAGAAAGGAGGCAAGGCGGCAAGTACGGGAGGTTAGTCAGATGGAGCAGGGCGCTATTGCCGCATGATATGCAAATCACAGAGCGGGATATAATATGAGAAGAGGACGCATATCGATTACTATTACTAGCGAAGGACATGCATACTTGGTATATAGCAAAATCATCCAACCACCATCATTCCACGTCAATCAAAGCAGCAATTATATACACACGAGAGATCAAATCATCTACTGGGATGATCGGACCTGCTCAATGCGGACGTTGTCATCCTTCTCGTAGCCGGAAGTCATGACGTTCTTCTCAACGTGCTCAATGTCGATGTGAGCGACCTCAGCCTCATCACCATCGAAGATCTTGGCGACCTCCTCAAGAGTCGGACCACGGGTCTCGACGTAGAAGACAGTGACGAAGATGAGCTCGAGGAAGATCCAGCACTGGCTTTGGTTAGTACATGATATATTTCAAGGCTTATTGCTATGTGACTTACGGCGTAGATGGTGTAGAACTTCCAGGTAGGGTGGAGATTTTCGAATCCGAGAGGGTTGACGTATTGGTTGATGGTCAAAGCGATCTGGATGAACAAGTTCATGATCATGAGACCCTTGGCACGAATCTTGAAGGGCAGAATCTCGACAGTGTAGGCGACAAGCAGACCAGACCAAGCCAGAGCGTAAGCGACGGAGAAGATCCAGATCATGGCAATGACGGCCTGACCAGCAGCCTTGCTCTTGGTAGCCTCCTGCTGAGACGAAGCGATGGTCCAAACGATGAAGGTAACGCACATGGCTGCAGTGGCAGAGATGAAGAGCGGGCGACGACCAACGCGGTCAACGAGCAGAGCGCAGGAGACGGAGACGATGAGAGAGAGAATGGTAAGACCACCGTTGATACCGAGCTGGGTGTCAGCGTCTGTGATACCAATGGAGTCGTAGACATCGGTGGCGTAGTAGGACACAAGACCGTTGCCAGACCATTGGGAGAAGAGACCGAGAGATGCGAGTAGCATGAGCCTGTACCTGTTGCCCTTGGTCTTGAAGAAGTCGAAGTAGGTGGAGGTCTTCTGGTACTGGAACTCGAGGCGGAGAGTCTCCTTGATCTCAGCAAACTCGAATTGGACGGTAGCGTTGTTGGCATCGCCGTTAGCGTGGTACTTGGCAAGAATGGCAAGAGCCTCCTCGTTCCTCTCCTTGGCGATCAACCAACGTGGGGACTCGGGGATGAACCAGATAGCGGCCAACTGAATGACGGAAGGAGCAGCCTGGGTAAGAGCGGGTACACGCCAGCACCAGTCGCTTTCAATGCGCTTGGTACCGAAAGTCAACCATGTGCAGACGATGGCACCAACGTTCCACAAACAGTTGTAGACGGCAGTGACACGAGCACGATGCTGAGGGTGGCAGAGTTCGGTAAGAAGCAGGGGAGACGAGAGTTGAGCAAGCGAGTTTCCGAAACCCATGAGGAAACGTCCACCCATGAAGTAGTCGAGGTTCTTAGCAGCGGCCTGGATGGAAGCTGCGACAATCATGATGACACATCCGAAGGTAATGCAGGCGCGACGTCCAAAGCGATCGGCAATGAAGGGAGCGACGGGAAGCGAGGCAATCGAACCGATGGAGTAAAGAGCAGTCAAGAGACCGAGAGTATCTCCCTTTGGGTCACCGAAGAACTCCGTCCACCTGGGCAGAATACGGAGGTTGTTCAACATGGAACTGGGGTGGGTTAGCTTTGGTCACTAGGAGAACAGCAATGGGAAGGCTTACCCATCGTAACCTGTGGTCGCAGAAGCGATACAGATGAAGAAGGCGTAGAAGTAGAGCTTGCGGAGACCGGCGTCGGACCTCCAGTTGACTTTCTTGAGGTGAGGAGCCTCAGCCTGAGCAGCTTCGACGTCGGACCTGCTCTTCGCAACGGCACCCATCTT